ACAAGATTAATTTTATTGATATATTAATTTTTTTTTTTTATTGGAATTTGTTGATTATTAGAGCAAAAGAAAAGTTCCCGTGGTATTTTATAAATCTACTTAATCGGTTACAAGTGTTATTTTATAAATATATCTTTTTATTTCGATAATAATCGAAATTATTTTAGGAATAGTTTTACTCTTTAAAAAAATTAATAAGCAACAGAAGGAGTCGGATTTTTAGTACAATGATCAGAAAACTATTTTAATAAATTCTAGTCGCAAAATCCTACTGTTATCAAAAAATTTTAACTTTCTTTTTGTGTCTATTGTGCTTGAACAATATTGAAAATTTGACTATTTTGCAAAAATTGAAACCTTATATTTTCTTGTTTTTAATGCCATTAATTAAAATAGCAAAAATAGATTAAAAAAGAGTTTCTGAAAATAAAAAAAATAATTTTGGGATGATACATAATAAATGTTTATGTAGATGATACTAATAATTTACAATTTCTTTCTACATGAAATAAACATATCAAAACCATTACTTATTACATTATAATGTTATCTTCAGAAATTATCTTTTTTCAGACGTGGATTCCGGCGAAAAGATTAGTTTTACAAAAAAAATGGAATAGATCTTTTTTGTGCAGGATTCACAGACAATCAACTTTTATTTTAAACATTTTTCTCGTATCTGCATCTGTTTTCGAGAAATTAAACAAAAAATTATTTTAAGAATAGTTTTACTCTTTAAAAAAATTAATAAGCAACAGAAGGAGTCGGATTTTTAGTACGATGATCAGAAAACGATTTTAATAAATTCTAGTCACAAAATCCTACTGTTATCAAAAAATTTTAACTTTCTTTTTGTGTCTATTGTGCTTGGACAATATTGAAAATTTGACTATTTTGACTCCCCATATATCTCCAAAATTACCCTTGTGTTCAACTTAAAATTTTCCTGAGATTAATGTCCCATCATAAAGTCACTCGGGGTAAACGTGCGCATTGGGTAAATGTGCAAATTATCTATATCTCAGCGGAAAAAGAAGATAGGAGTTGGTTATTGTTAACCGATCAATAGCGTTTAAGTGCCTATTAAAAGTAGATGTAGCAAGAACTCTATGCGCAATAACAAAGAAAATATTCACGCAGTTATGAAATATTAAGTAACAGAGTTAGATTTTTCGCTACGGGAAAAATGTATCACGCTAAATTAAAAAAGGAAAGAGAGGTAAGTACATGTTTTATACGTACTATTATAATGTAAGTTTATATTGCGTAACAATATTTGAGGTTCTGTTCGCTATTGTTAATACTGAGATTTAGGGCCAAAGCATAGACTTTTGCATAACGTATAAAACATAACGCATAAGAGAATAAACCAATCAGAGTTCTTCATTTCTAACCAGAAGAAGAAGGGAAATGAAGAAATCTGATTGATTTATTCCCTTATGCGTTATGTATTATGTGTTATGCAAAAGTGCCTGTGCTGTGGACCTTAGTTTTTGTTGACAGTGGGTCAAGTGTACGTGGACAAGTGTACGCATGCGTATACTTAGGCTGCGTTCCGTTTTACGCATTATGCGTAAAACATTTTCTACAGTATACATGACATGAACTATAGATAAATGCGCGCATATGCGTAATACGGAACGTGGCCTTAGCCGCATAAATTAAACTAGCACTAACGAGAACCGACATAATCTCAAACGCATGCACACACTTATCCTCAAAACTATTCTAAATACTGTACCAAAACACTGTAATACTATACTGAAATCTTTTAAAACACTGTAATCTATATTATATTGAAGTTAATGATTAAAAAAATGTTGATTGCACGCTTACTCCAAGCGCGTTTATTTACCCCGCAGTACTGCGCATTTTTACCCGCAATATGGGTCAAGTGGACGCATTCATCTCTTCGAGATAATTTTTAATTTTGCAAAAATATGAAAGAAGTTGGATTTAAATTGTTATTTTTTTTTAAGAAGTATAATAAATAGATTCCACGAAAAACCATATTTTTTTTATTCAAGTCTGTCCATTTTTAGTTAAACAGACGTTAACTAAAAAGTGCGCACGTTTACCGCGAATGACTCTAGAGTATCGTTTGGCATACAATTCAATTCAAATTTCGAGGGCTACAGAATGGGTAGAATTTGGGGTTATTATTATCTCGTGACTAGATACCGACGAGGTTCAATTTCTGCCAAAGCACCTGTCTATCTGCTGCATTCGTACCTATTTTCATAACCTAGATAGACAGAAGATATGTAAATTTGGCAGTAGTTTTACTAGTCGCTTTGCAAAAGTTGTTTATGGATAGTTCATATGGCATGTATATTTATTTTACGTAAAATAGTAATACGAAAAGAATGTGAAAAAGTAAACAAGATTTACTCAAAATAAAATGCAATATGAAAATCTCGGAGTAACTTTGAATATATTCCTTGCTACATCAATATAATAAAAAATTTATATTATTATATGATGTAAATTTAATGATTAATTCAATACACACAATATATTTATATATTTTCTTAGAAATATAATTATACAATATATTTTCTTAGAAATATAATTAAAATAATTATAAAGTTTTTTTTCTATTATCGATTGTCGAACGTCGTGATAATTATAGGAGTCTATTTGGGAAATAACAAGTCTAGTCAAGTATAACGAGTTTAACGGAAGATCTATGATCTTGATTAATTTTGCAATTTTTCATCCTAATTGTGATATCCGCTCTTACTATTAGTGGGACGAGGGAGATCTTAGATAATGCTATTGTTGCCCATCGCCTACGCACTCCAAAGATATACCTCGATAAGATACAAACTTCGTGGACTGGAGTCCTACATACGTTAGCAACATATGGCTGGGCGAATCGATCGAAGGCATCAGATGAGTTTTCTTGGAACTCGGCGATACTTATATCTCTCTTTCTCTCTCTTTCTCTCGAGAATGTCAGGGTCTGGGGACATGTTCGATCATACATTCCGTCATAAGCGGAATTATTTCTGAATCGGGAAAGTACAGATCGATCGTTCGCAATATGGAACGTTCGTTCGAGAAGTACACGAGCAAACCGAAAAATTCGCGACCGGCTGGCACGTTATATCAAAGATACTTTTTAATCAAAGAATTGAAATATATATACTTTCACGAGGTTGTCATTTCTTACGCATTCTAACAAGGAAATATATAGAAATGTGCCTTCTTGATTTTTATGGGTTTTGATTATTGCAGAAAATGAGAGACACATATTTTTATATATATTTTTTCTCATATGTATTCATACTATATATTATTTTTTATATTTTTTATGTTTCACTTTTATACATGTTTAAGAGTCAAAACAAACTCTCGAAGGAAACGTAGCAAAATTAATTGCGAGTGTATATCTACCGTAAGATATATGAAAAATATTTTAAACCGAAATTTCATGACATTTAACGTTTTCTATAATTGTACATTTAAATTTTTCAAAAATTATTTTTTGTAACGTATCCTCAGCACTAACATGGCATTTCTTGACGAATTTAATGCACAGTAATGTATATTAAATAACATAAAAATTTTATCTAAAACATTTTCTCTCACATCTCACAATTTCTAAGATGTTTACTCATAAAACGTTTTATATCCCGGATATGTCTCAATCTCTAAATATACGAAATAAGAAAAATATATGAAAAAGCGCGTGTAAAGGAAGTATCTTTATCTTCTTATTTGTTCTATATATATATCTATTTTTGGAATTCTTCAGAATCCATCTTTGTGTGCGTCTTTCTTTACGTGACATACGCGTTTACGAAAGCTGCACGTTCCGCGTTAAGGTGTGGAAAATTAATTCCGCTTTTCTTCGCGTGATCGATCAGCGATGTGACTTCGAGTAGATGAACGACGGTGATTACCATTAGGCCGATGATTACATTTAAAGTAAGCGTTACGTATAATCTGATCCCGCACTGGGCAATTTGCATTTGTAGACTTTAGAGCGAGAAGAATATCGCGCAAAGGTGGCCGCTGTTTAATCTTTGAGTCATCCAGAAGCCTTACAGAATCTTCTCCACACGGAGATATAATCTCTTTAACTTCTGTAACCGATAATCGTTGCTTGCGTAGTTTATCTAGCATTTACGTTGAATGATATCACATCATATCACAGTATATTTAAGGACATATTTATATTCACTTCATTTCGTTTGGAAATCTTATATTTACGAAGAAAGATAGAAATATCTCTAACTTAGGTTGCATTCCAAAACTTAGGTTTTCTTGAGAAAAATTTTACTGGAAATCTATAGTTCACGTCATACAGATATACTACAGATTATCCGTAAAAATTTTCTAAAAAAGGACGTCTTATAAAATGCAATTTTAGTTCTTACTTAAATTTTTTTTAGTCTTTCTTTACATAATATAAAAAAGCAGAACATGTTTATTCCTCTGCAAACATGTGCAATAATACAAACATATGCATACTTTTATGTAACATATGTTGGAATTTTAATTTTATAATTTCTGCTAAGTTGTATAAATTTCAATACGAGTATAATTTTTTTGTTATACTACTAATGTATCTTATCAATATATTTATATTCGACTAATAACAATAAAATAAATTTAAAAAGAAATATATTATAAAAAATATAATATAATATTATATATTACAAATAGAAAAACGAGGGAATGAAAAAGAATATCTTTAATCAAATATGTAATTAATAAAAAAATTTTTGGAATTATTATGACTCTCTAAATTATTGGAGAAAATATTTGTTATCAATTGCTTGTTATGATATATGTGTGCACTGATACGTAGTAGGGCTAAAAGTGTTTACGAGACGTGTTTACATTGTACTCTTTCATTGTACATGATTTCATTGTACTCTCATTAATGTAAGATCATCAACAGCCTGACAATTGTCAACGTCTCAACCACTCATTATCTCCACTGAAAAGCGCAAATGCTAAGAAAAAAAAAGAAAAACAGAAAAACTCACCCATTTCTTCTCGCAGCGGACTCGTCCTTTTCATGTCGTATGTCCTCTGTTGTCGCGAATGGATCATTCCCGCTAACGCTTGGAGCTTGAAACGTCAATTCCAGATCAACGTCGCTGCCAAGAGAAGTCCCGAGCAGGAGTGGTTACGCGCGGTCGAAACGAGCGGGACGACAGCGGAAGCCCGAAACAATCGCGAAGGATTCTTCTCTCGGACGCGCGATCGTTTCACCGTTACGTCGGACGTGAGCGCCTCGCACATTCCTGGACCGTGTCCAGAAACGATCTGAATTCCAAATACCAACTACCATAATCGGAGATTCAAAGTGCTCGGCGGCCGTTGGTCTAGAATTCCGAATCGCATTATAGGGACTCTCGCGGGCCGGTGACCGACGGGGATCACGGTGAGATCGCTGGAATCAGATCCACCCTTGGGTCTCGCTCCAGTTATCGGCCAATGGTGGCCCGGATCCTTCGCCTCTTGAATCTGGGCCAATTTTTTCCGACCCCGAGACCAACCCCTTCGCGCGACGCACGGGTCGTTGTCTTTTCCGTTGCGTACGTGATTGTGTACGTGTGTGCGTACGTGCGAACTGGTAAGGTCGAAGGGATATTCGTGGAAAAAACAAGCAAGGATCGCGCATCCCCTCCCCCCTTGGCGGATGGACTGTTTACTTGCACGTGTTCGGTTTGAATGGACTAACACGTAACTATGCACGTCTCTCTCCTTCTCTCTTTCTTTCTCTCTCTCTCCCCCTCCCTCTCTCCGTTAATTTATTATGTATATGTATCACATTTTTTTAACTGCATATTGTGATATCTTGATACTCGCTGATCATTTTTCTTCCTTTCTTGCTGTATCCTTCTACTTTGTCTTTCTTCTTCTACTTTAAGTTCTTCAACATTTTTTTTTGAACCGTTAATTACCGATAACTTATTGTTATTATTAATAACTTATTAACATCATTAATATTAGTTTTTCAATAATTTATTATTGTATCGTATATCACAAAATACACGATCTTTTTGCGGTGATCACCTCGCAAACGAGTTCTTCTTAACTTACGTAGCTCGAAAGTTTATAAATAATGATAATAACAATTCTAATCTAATTCTTAATTCTAATCTAGGCAAGATTACGATTTCCGGAGCAAGTCTTGGCTACAGATTCGTCAGGCCATTAGAAACAAAAGTTTAAGAACAGAAGTGGCGGTGCAGCTTAGTTTAGGAGATATAAAAGTTTTTAGTTGCAATTTGCAGGAATCGATAACGACGCGTTTTTGCCATTTGCAGACTATTTTCGCGTTGCTCAGAATATATCACGTGAAGGCATAGCCTATACATTCGCATTCCATGTGTGAATATGTAAGTATGGGTAAATGTATGTATGAGTGTATGTGTGAATATGTGTAATAAGTCTACCATATACTAAAATAGATACTGAAAACATTAGCAGAGACTCCTACGCAAGATAAAATGTTCTATTAAATATTCGCCTTACTAAAAAGATGAGTCTATCATATACTGGAAAGATTAGCAAAGATACTTACGCAAGGTGGAATTGTATCCAAAGCAGCATACGTATGACACGCCATACTATGTGTATATTTTTCTTTTTTTATTAGAATGTTGCTATGCGACTGCGGGGGGAGCGAAGCCCCCCTCCCCCGTACCCTTCCTGACAGGAAGTTTCGCCTCTTAAACCCCTTTTTGTTCATCTGCATATTGTTGTTTATCGTCAAAGTTTTCCTAACTTCCTATCGTCACAGTTTTCCTAACTTTTATAGCAGTCAACCTTATCGATTAATAGATTCTGACAGAATACAATTTAATAAGGGAGTGACGCACGAAGTCACGAGAACGCGAGAACGAAGTCGTAGCAGCGTCACCGTGCGTGCGGCACTTTCCTAGTATAAATTATATTCCGTTCTGCATTTCAAGTTTAAAAAAGATTAATATTTTTAGATTGTATTAGGTGTTATTAAGTTAGGTCAGTCTATAGTCAGTCTATAGTCTAAGATATAATTTCCACCTAATCTACTACTATATTATTTGTAATAACGTAAAAAATAATCTGCAAATGACAAAATCGCGTCGTTATTGATTTCCGCAAATTGCAACTAAAAACTTTTATATTTCCTAAACTAAGACAGATCGCCACTTTCACCACTCTTGAACTTTTGTTTCTAATGGTCTGTAGATGATGAATCTGCCAAGTCAAAACTTGGTGCTCCAGAAATCGGTTTTGATACTTTTAAGATATTTTATTAAACATTCAAAAAAATTGAAAAATTGTTTATTATAAAATAATTGTTATATTAGTAATTGTAAAATAGAGAGTTATTTCGCGTTGCAGCTTCAGCATCGGAGTAGCATGTTGTCTATCGGCATACATTATAGCGCCTGTTGTATTTACCTGAAACAAAAAAGAAGTTTCGTTTTTTTAAAAATTGCATTATAAATAAATCACATTATACTAAAAAAGTGTAAATTTAAGAAAATAGCGGAATTTTGAAGAAAAGCTGCAATTTTAACGAAAAATTTTAATTTTAATTATGCAAAAAACACACAATTGAATTTAATAATATCACTAAAAGTACTTATTCATCCGGAGAGGAATATTTATTTACATGTTTGCACAGAAACAAATCGATTGATTTTTTTTAGTTATGCTGCACGCTAATCTGAGAAAAAGTTATTTCGAGAAAAATACATTTAAAGTTTTGGGTATTAAAAAGTAACAATTTTTGAAAAATTATAGCTGCTTCCTCGTAAAAGTTTTGCAGTTCAATATGTTATTTTTTCCGCACTTTTCAAGCCTCTTTCGTGCTGCTTAGATGTTCCTGTCTCTTCAACCATTGCAAGTATTAGCGAAAAATTTATATATTACTATTCAATAATAATTTCCATAATTTTTAATATGACATAATAACCTTCATTGAAAACATTGGCAGCAATAAAAACGATCTCGATAATCTTTATGCCGGAATTCAAGTATTTCGGAGCCAAATGCCACACGGTAGAGTTGGAACTCTCATTAGCATTTTGCGTGTGCTCGCCTAAACATTTTTCCAGAAGATCTTGCCGTGACAGATCTTCATAAATCGGCAAATGCCTATGAACATCTGAATGAAGTGCAGGTAGTTCGAAATCTTCCTGTTTACCTGCGGCCCCAGCGACACGCTACTTACATCAACTGTCGGCTCCCGGTGGATAATTTTGATGCGTCGGCTTCTCATTAGTGGAGCATAAATGATGGTACGTCGTCATTATAGCTTTTGTCATTTCATCGGCGGAGACAATATCTCTTCTTATCGTTAAGCTGTAATATTTTGAGTCTTTTTATAAGAACAATTTTCTTTTTCCTTCAAGTTTTTCTGTTTTTTTTTTAATATTTCACAGGCGAGTATCCATCCTCTTTTCTACCTAACTCTTCTACGTTCAATACACTTTGAAAAGTAGTGAATATTTGAGGGTCGTCGCCAAATATCTAAAGAATCATGCCTGGAGCCTATTCATACATGGACTAAACGAAAGGACGCGCTATGCGCGCTACTTGCGTGATGTGCAGAGGTAAAATCTGCACGGAGAAAAATAATTTGTTGGTCCAGTAAATTTTCTGCTGGTCTAGCAAAATCTTTTCGTTATTATATAGACAGCAAAAAGATTTGCTAAGAGTACTAATCGCTATTTACTGGATATAATTTATTTTGCTGGATATAATTTGCTGAATCTACAAATTATTTTGCTATAAGAACCACGATGGATTTATATAAGCAGTTACAGTTTTGCTCCGATAGCAAATAAATTTGCTAAAAAGATACATCATTTTGCATCAATAGCAATAACGTGATTCTTAGGACAAATATACTCAACAAATTTTTTCTATCTTGGCAACGAAACTATTTTTGCTCTAATGACGAATAATTTGTAAAATTAGTTATGTCAACTAAATTTTTTTTATGACACTATGAATGTGCAGTAGCAATGACGATTTTGCTAAAAGAACAAAAATTATTTTTCTCCGTGTGTTACAGCGTTAATGCTTCGAATTTCGTTCTGTGACTTCAGAGATATATTTTTCAGATATGCTATTACTAATTTATGCAAAAAACGTTGATTTATGCAAAAAATCGATTTTTCGGTCCATTACACGAGGTTTCCCCCTTAACTATATCTAGTCAACTTATAAGAAAGGCGTGGAAAGTCGAAACTGCAGCAAAGAATAAGGTCCGCACACTGAGAGAAAAAAATAATTGGAATAACTATAATCTCACTATATTTTATAGTTTATTTTGGCCTCAAACATATATTTATAGTTCATCTAAACATGAAGATATAGCAGAATGAACACACAATTTATAGTCACCATTTTATTACTCTATGTGTATAGTAAAGCACACTTTGGGAATATAGTTATATGTATCTATATTTGCCAAATATTCCAATTGTATTGACTATATAAAATAGTTAATTTCTCTTACCATTCAATATTTGCTACCTTACTATACTTCTTATTTCAAATAATTATAATTCTTGGTAAAAGTTTTACATAGGTCAATTATACTATGCTTATATTGTAAATATTACAAACATTATGATGACATTTACTATAAAACTAATATTCCTAACTATAATCTTTTTACTATGCCATTATAGTTCCAAATATCATACATTTTTCTCTCAGTGCAACATCACCGGGCGAAAACAGATTTTTTGCACGAAATTCACATTATCACCCACAAGTTACTTCTTTCAATAACTTCATGCTCCACACGTGAACAATACTGGAATTTCGCTGGGTATTTAGCTCCATATTGAGATGATCTCGTTGCAAACACTTTTATTTTACTCAAATAGTGTATCATATGAAAAAAAAAGAAAAATTTATGTCATGTCATAACGAGACTGTTATTATCAAGCGATAGATGTGGAGGAAGTCACTAACGAGACGACCAATGGGACGAATGCGAGACGCGATTACGAGCGGACTCGTCCACTTACATTTGTGTCTGCATTATCGTCCGGCTAGCGCGGGGCCTCATTAACAATACTACGCTGCTAGCCAGACGACGCGAAATTACAATGTTCGGCGATAAAATAT